GTTCCATCTTCCTCCGTACCCATAATATCAATCTGCAGGTTTACTAGTGGTTCCTAGAATTTCTAAAAGTAGAATGGGAGGCAGATCTTTTAGTTCTCAGGCTCCTCTCCTGTGGAACCAACTACCAGTTTTAGTCAGTGAGGCAGACACTCTGTCTACTTTTAAGGCTAGGCTTAAAACTTTCCTTCCACCTGCCGAAGACACAGACGTCCATCCCCGTGAACACCGGGACTGAACTCAATGGGAAAGGAAATGATTCTCATTTCTAATTTAAACCGTTGCGTATATTAGCTGCGAAATACGAATCTAGATGCTATGACCGAAAAAATTTGATTGACATTGATATATGATTGGCCGAATTTAGGCATACAAGCTGACGTATAACTAACTGGCCTACATAAGAAAACAAAAAAAATAAAACACAGATTTTGAGACTTTTGGGACAATTTGGTCTAATAAAGAGTACATTTATATACATGTTTAGGCTAGAATGATTTGACATTTAAATATGATTTCCCTATGACTTTAAAAGCAGAGGTACATTTCTCCAATGTGAGATCAATAAAGTTCAATTAGATTATTATTAAGTCTTTTGTATTTCAAACTGGATCCACCAGCTCAGCAGAGCAACCAGTAGCTTAAAATCATCTTGGAAAGAAGAAGCTGTTGCCTCATATAACAGATCTCCTGTGACCAGAGTAGACCTCACAGGTCCACCTTAAACAGTCGGGGATGTCGCAGCCTTCTGTTCCAAAAAATACCAAGATTTCCAACAAAGGCCGTGGATGGTAACAGGTGGGTTTCGGCTTTGTACCACTTCCGACTTGACTTATTTATCGTAAAAGTAAAGACAAAATAATTACTAAAAATATCTTGCAAATTAGTGGAAATGAAAAGTAGTATTAATTTAATGTTTGAAGCTCTAAAAAAGTGGTAAAAAAGTCATACCAGTGGGCTTCAGCAGATGGCCGCTCACACTGAGCCTGGTTCTGCTGGAGGTTTCTTCCTGTTAAAAGGGAGTTTTTTTCTCTCCACTGTCCCTACAAGCATGCTTAGTGTGGCGCTATAGAAATAAACTGAATTGAACTGAATTTTACAAAACCTCCCGTCCACACCAGACATTTACCAAACAATCCTCCAGCCCCGGTGTGTTCTTAATTACTCAAATTAATGGAAGGGTCTAACAATTAACAACGTACTTCAACAATTCCAAATATAAAAATAAATTAAACATTTTTGCTCTATATTAAATTCAATATATTCTAAAACTAAATTAGTAGAAATCACAAAAATTTAGCATAAATGGCCACAACAGGAGACATCAACCAATCAGCTGGTGTTTAAATGTATACCCCTCAAAAAAGTGAATAGTTTGAAGCTAACAGATATTGCACCATAATGCAATACATATTTTAAGTTTTCACAGATCTGAGTTTTAACCTTTGAGTCTTCATCAACTTTTACTTACTGCAGCTAAGCGTGTTGTCGGTCTGAGGAAGCGAGGACGCGATGAGCCACTGGCTGTTGTCCCAGTCGATGATGTTCCCCACCGTGGTGCAGGTCAAGCTTTCCAGGTCCTGCTGAGTCAAGGTACGATTCCACAGGCGCAGGTTGTAGATGTTCCCTTTGAAACTCGGTACCCCTGAGGACAAACATGTACGCATCCAGTCAGGGGGGGGGGGATTTACCATTCGGCAAAACTAGGAAGTTTCCAGGTTCCTGGGGGCCCCATAAAAGTCTCTTTCCATGTATGGTTAATGCAACTATTCCTTATTTGTGCACATTAATTATTTTTGTGATCAAAATCCTTTTGTTAAAAAAAAGAGGGCGAAAATACTGGTTAGCTGATTGGCCTATGTTGGTGATAGACGGGCCAAATAAACCAATCAGATCAACGAAGCATATGACG